GCCCGCTCCCCAGCCCCGGCCGCAACCCGCTCGGCCCCTGCGCACGGCGGCCGGGCCTCTGCCCGCCACCCTGCGCCGAACCCTAGCCGTTAGCCCAGGAGGGGGGCAGACAGCAAGGTGGCCGGGAGGAGGTGGGCAGAGGTGGAGCCCCAGCCCTTCTCCGGAGGGCCTGGCTCCTTCACGCACGGGACAGAGCTCACGCCTTTGGCGATAGCGGGGCTTGGGGAGGGGGCTGGAGTTGCAAGTGTTTAGTCTGCAATACATTTTGACGAGCTCTGCTTAGTCAAGATTTCACTCTTGAAAGACTGGACAAAATGCAATGGCAGAGGAGCCCAGTTCTGTGCCTTACTCGGAGCTGCAGCGGGTATGACCTTAGCCGAGCCGAGGTTAGTTTCTCATGGGGAACAGCGGTCAGTCCTTCCGAGCCCACAGGGCTCTAGTAGTTACGGGCCCATGGGCTGAACTGTACAATGAATGATCAGGGCTGTTTCTATACCCCCCCCCACCCACACCCCCTGCCCACCATCAGGGTGGGCTTGAGGGGAGGGTACAGACTGGCAAGGTGAAGTTCAGAGGGAGCGTTGTGCTCTTTGACTTCATGGTCCATAGGAAGGGGCCTGAGCATCCAGGCATTTGGACCTCCCCACGCTGAGAATCTGGAAGCTCTGAGGTCCAGAGGAAATGTCTCTGGGTTCCAGGAGCTTCTTTCTACATCAGGCATCTGTCTCCCCCATCGGGAGACTATATTTGCAACAGGAGTGGGTCTAAACTCTGCTGCTCATTAACTTTGTCGCCTTGAGTAAGTCATTGGACCTTTTGAGCCTCAATTTTTTAACTTATAAAAGGAGAGTAGCAATTCTTAGTTTGTATGGTTATGGTGAGAATTATATAAAATAATTTTAGTATATTGCTTTGTTTGTAGCTGAATCCAAGTCCAAATTTACATAATGTCTCAGCTGCTCACCCGTGAGATCTAGAAGGGACATTTTCCATTCTTTTCAGGGCTTCTAGCTTCTGAAAGTCAGGGCTATGAAAAGGAAGTGGTATCCACACAGAAAGAGCTGGAAGTGGCTGGGAAGGTGGTAGAGAGTTCAGGAAAAGACAGACTTTGCAATTACACCATCCAGTGCTTACTAGGGTACATGTGTTCTTTCCACGTATTCCAAGATTAATGTGGTTCATCCCTTGTTATTTTTGCCTAAAACACTGTTCTATAAACTGCAGGATTGTGGGTTGTGAAATCAATGTCAAGATCAGCATTCTTTTTTATTAATATTTTATATTTTTAGAGCATTTTTATGTTCATAGCAAAATTGGGAGGAAGTTATAGATTTCCCATATAACCTCTGTACCCCCATGTGTATAGCCTCTCCCATAATCAACATCCACCACCAGAGTGGTACATTTGTTACAATTTACTAACCTACATAAAATCCTAAAAGCCCCAAATTTACCTGATGGTACACTCTTGGTTACATATGGTATACATAAAGGTTACATTATGGTTCACTCTTGGTGGTGTACATTTTATGGGTTTGGACAAATATGTAACCATACAGATTCATCATTATGGTATCATACGCGTTTTCACTGCTCTAAAAATCTTCCATGCTCCAGCATTATTCTTTAAATAAATAGCATGGTTACAATAGCTTTGAGATTTATTTATCAGGGTTCACTGAAGATAATAATGTTAAGTATTATTTCACGAATATTTTGTTTCAAACACAAACACACACCCAAGACTATGAAAGCTATTTCTGTGGGGCATAGTCAAAAAGGTTTGAAAGCCACTGAAAAAAGTTCTAATCACTCTGTCTCAAAATCTACACAATCCCTGGAAGTGGCACCAAGGGGAGGCCCAAAACCTGGATTTGCATTGAAACATTTATTCACTCAGCAAGTATTAATTATTAGATTTTTCCTTTTGCCAGGGTCTTTCCTTTTCCTTTTTCACTATTAGTGAAAAAGGGAGATAACTTATCTAATCCACTGGAGTTTACCTTCTAGTGGAGGAGAAAGGCTATAGACAAGTAAATACATATCTGTACTGGTAAGAGGGACAGAGATAGATGAGATTGGATTGTGGGATTGATTAAAATCTATGATACCATTTTCAAAAAGTGGTTGGAAATGCTCATTAAAATTTTATACCCACCTCCTAACATGAGAATATAAGAAAAATGAGAACAATAACAACTATCAAAATGTTAATGAGGATTATTTATTTAAATATATTAAATATTAAATTTAAAGTAGTATGCCCAAGATACTAATCAATACTGTGTACTCACAGCGCATTGTGAATTTAGTGTCAAATAATTTAGCTAAAAATAGTAAAGGACATCACATATAATCAGTATGTTCTTGATTATTTTTAATGTTAATGAATATTCAAAATCAATGATAAAACCAAAAATTAAGCAGCCAAGCCTAACCAATTGTTCTGATCCTGGTTTTAAATACTACTTGATAATCAATTCTTACCAGTTAGATTGATTATACTAACTAAGATATTATTTTATACAGAATAGATTCTTAGTAAAAATATATTGAGTGGAAAGGGCCTGATATAATATAAGACCGTTTCAACTTATTTTTTACATGTATCTCAAACTGACTTACCACAACATTAAATTTGCCACTACAGGAACCAACAAAATGAAATCAGATTTTATAAATATTTATTACTACTCAGAATAATATAAATCAACTATTCTATATTTAGTCGTTGTTCAGTAGCTTTCATATAAAAGACACTTCTACTGTTTAGAAATTAAAAAAAAAAATGAGAGCAACTCATAACAGATTGATCTACAATGGCATTTATGGCAAACAAATATTCTAACAGTACTGATTTGATAAAAAGCGTAGGTTAGGATGTGACGCTGTTTTTATCATGTACTCTTCTTCTTACACTATTAGGACATAAGAATGGTGTTTTCCATGACGTTTTCAAATGTGCTTGGCTTCTTCACCTGCCTCATAAAAGTTATGGTGGAAAAGGAGTGAAACGTGGCATGGCCGCTTTGAAGCCTTCTCATTCCTGCAAGGCTCATACCAAAGCCTTTAAAAAAAAGTAAACTTACAACTCATTGCAGGACCCTTTTCTTGACTCTAGCAGTCATGTAGAGCCTACTCCATTCAACGAGGACATCCCTGCCAGCCGGTGTGGCTCAGCAGTTGAGCATTGACCTAGGATCCAGGAGATCACGGTTCGATTCCCAGGCAGGGCACATGCCCGGATTGTGGGCTCCATCCCCAGCAGGGGGTGTGCAGGAGGCAGCCGATCAATGACTCTCATCATCGATATTTCTCTCTCTCCCTCTCCCTTTCTCTCTTTGAAATCAAAAAATATGTACTGTATTTAAAACAGAACAAAACAAAAAACAAAGAGGACAGCCTTCTGTTACTCATCTTGGCCTCACTAGATCTCAGGAAAAGCAAAACATTGTGACATGACCTATAAAATCAGCTCTGTCACTAGACTACTGAGTTTGGTCAATATTGAATTTTTATGGGACTTAGATGTCTTCCTGTAAAATGGGAGCATTATAATAGGTTGCCTTAAAAAATCTGAATATTTTATTTTCTTTTTTAAATCTTGCCTTCACTCATAATTTTTTGCCATATGTTTTATGTAGCTTTACCAAACTCAAATGCATGCTAAATGGCTGTTAAAAAGTTTGGCTATATACAAGAATAGAGTTTTTCTACAAATTTTTATGAGCTGATATTTTAAAATTTCAATGATAATATATAATAAAATGATAGCTCAAAGATTTAACATTAATAATTACTTTTATTTTTAAAATTGTATTTTCTTTTAAAGAAATCAGTGGTTTCAAATGTATAAAAACACAGATAAGGAGAATGTGTTTTAGTGGTAGAAGTAACTATATAGATGAAATACAGTTGATTAAAAGTATGACAAATTTGGAAAAGAAATTGACTATGATGCCTTAAGACATTTAGCAAAAATAGTTTTGACCTGTGATTTGGCTCAAAAAAACTAGATGAAACTCAGTTCATTTTGAAAATTTTATAAAAGATAATGTTTGAATATCTGGTGCCAAAGAATAAAATGAAATATTCCCAGGACTACAAAGCGTGGTAATTTTTCTAAATTGTTCCTAAGGATTTGAAAGACCTAGAAGACTAACATAGTTACAGAATATTTTGTATCAAGTATGTGCAAAATATATCATTAAATTATGTTGACCCAAGAAGCACACCATTTTTTAACCCATCTAATGTTTGTCTTTTAATAATTAAAGTTATCCTTTTGTTAAACTCTTTCATATTTTTAACCGACTTGTTTGCCACATGCATTATATTTATTCTTTCATTCTCATTTTCATTAAGAGTAAAATAAGTTGTAGAATGGCTTTTAAAACACTTTTTCTTAA